GTTGTCTACAGGCAGGGCTCACAAACTGACAGGGTTTCGGCATGATGCAGCAGCGCCTAGGATCCGCGCCAGTGTTAGGGGATTGATAGTTGCTGGAGTGACAGGAAGGCGAGTATCCACTGGCACGACTGCACCGGCTACCAGACCTACTCCGACATATACTTCTCTGGCCTGGCATGAATAGAGTCTCCAGCATATGCAGTGCTCTCAGCTTACGCATAAGTTCCGGGTTAGGTTCCTCTTCCGAATCATCAAAGGCCGCATGCGTGCGATGAAACTCACGCATGGTCTGTATCATCCAGTGCATAACAGTTTGCATCTCTGCCTGCTTTCGTGCAATCATCTTTTTACCCCTTCGCGAAGCCAGAAACCGTTCAATTTTGGCCTGAAGAGCCGCTTCTCGGGCTCTTTCCAGCTCTTCCAGTGTTCTCCGTAACAACTCTTCCTCGTATTCCGCTTGAGCACGTTCGATCTCAGCAGCTGCTTTGGCGTCTATAAGGTCTTTTTTATCTGGTAGTTTACTCGAACCGGTCATTCGAGAAAATATGGAGGACAACCGACTTGAAAACCTGACCCTCCTGCTGTCTTTTGGTGGAGGAGTCACCTTAGGAGGCCCCTTAGGAGGCCCCCTAGGAGTCCATTTAGGAGTCCATTTAGAAGTCCGAGTAGCTGTTACTGTCTTCATACTGCCTGTGTTCGAGTGGACGGATATGGAAGAAGTGGGGGTGGAGTTTGGCAAACTTTGGCTTGAATGGTTTGACGTAAGCTTTGGTTGCACTGGTGTCCCACTAATTGTTGGGGTCGAAGTCGGAACCGCGGATACTGACTGTGGATTTGAGGGTTTTGGTGTCAATATCTGGAGTTGTCCAACCGGCAGAATTTGTTCAGATGCTTGTGAGTTCTTCTGACTCTCCGTTGCAAGTTGAGGTGCTGCTTCGCTCGTCGCTGCAGGCGCTGCGTTTGTGGGTTCAGGCGCTACCACTTCCCCTGACGTTGGTTGTGATTGGGGCATCAAGTCCGGTGGCAGCAGGATTTTCGTCTCTGTTGTTTTCGCTCCATCTACTGAATCAGACACAGTGCTTTGTTCTACCAGTGATGGACGGTTTATTGGTTGGTTTAATTGCTTGATTTCATTCATTAGGGTATCCGTTCCCACGGTTGATTCAAACGATGAAATCGGAGCCCCCATGTTTGCCACAAGCACTGGGGCTGGTGGGTCGACAAGGACTTCTGGGACCTTCACATTCTTTTCTTTTTTAGGCTTCCGCTGGGGTGGTTTCTGCTTAGCTTTGTGTAAGTTATAGCCAGGTGGGACTCTGTAAAGTTTCTGAGCTGCATCGTCTTCAATAGGCATGTTTTATGCGCTTGAGAATTTGCTGTGCATCCACCTTATTCACTTTGATGAGTCACTGGGGGCGCCTACTTCTACGCCAAAGGAAGGCACGTTCATCATTGATTTTTTCGTCACGTGACTGACTTGGTCTTTGAACTTATGTTTAGCGGACCAGAAGACGGTTTTGACCACACAGTTAGTTGGCAAGGGTAATGATTATGCTTCTTCTTTCTCACTAGAAACACATTGAATCCGCGCGATTGTTCACAGTCCAACTATAATCGAAGCAAGGGGGCTAAACTAAAAGCCGTGAGGATGCCTGGATGGCGGGTATATTTGATCATAGCACCACATAATTAACTAAAAAGCCACCAGAAATGTGACGAAACAGAAGAATCCTTTGGGATCTTTAACATCTCATTAACGATGAAAGCGAGGAGGGGAGATTAAAGCTCACGAAGGTCGTCATTGTAGAGAGGTATTATCAATGGACTTCACAGCAAAATAAAAAAAAATTCGAGGTCGTAAAAATTTAAATAGTTTTCAGCAAAGCACCTAAATAAATAAATATTTTTAAAACGCTGGAGGTCATCATCATGATATATGAAAAACATATTAGGTCTACCCTTAATTTTTAGCAAGGCCTTTTTTTAAGCCCAAACTTTGAGTGATGTAAAAGTGAACGAGCATTAGGGTAAGGTGCTTGTTTAATTTCAATTTGAATGCACGTACGTTTGGTGACAATTTTAGTTACAGTGAAAAAATATTCGGCAGGCTTGTCTTGTGGGGCCCCAAAAATACCATCGACTAAAAATGAAAAAATTCTTCCTTTTGTTCAGTATCATGGCTTTCCGTTTTTTCCACCGCGCTCGCAGTTGGTCCAGTAGGGGTTAGTGATGATATTTAAAAAAATGTACCTCAGTGACCTCGCTCGCGGTCAGTAAACACCAAATTACACGTGCTCGCCACTGTTCCAGAAGACGCATTATTTAACTATCATCACTAACTCATACTGGACCAACGGTGAGCGCGTGTAATTTGGGGGGTGTTCGCTGGCCTCGAGCGAGGTTACGGTGGTACATTTTTTTAAATTTGATCACTAGTTCTTACTGGATCAACTGCGAGCGCGGTGGAAAAAACCGAAATTCATGCTATTGTTTGGTTGAAAGTAGTTTTTCTTATAAGTCAACGGTATTTTGAGGCCCCACAAGGCACTCCTGCCAAAATTTCCAAAGGAAATAAATTATTTAAAGATAATGAACTTTTAGACGTGGAGCAAATAGTTGATAGAATAAACAAACAGCAGTTACAATAGAAATAAAACCAATTTACTGGAGTAAGATCGTCAAACCGTGGAAGATAAAGCTTGAATTAGTGCGCATTAATGAGCATAAGATGGCCTTAGTTTTGTGACCCGTAGAAAACGTTGTAATTGCCTAGTGGAATGTCTCAATGTCTCATATTTTACAACGTTTACAGACACTCATGCGACCAAAGGAAAAAAATAGCAGTACTCGAGAATTTGTAGGTTGCAAATGTGATAAGTTCCACCTTAATTTCCGCGAGGAAAACATAATGTACTATGGAACCACATATATGAACAGCTTTTGCAGGAATGCCGTCTCCATTAGGGGATAATGCAAGCCTATTCGGGTTATTTAGGCCTACGTTCCTTATCGTGGAGCGTTCTAATTGTGCATTATTTTGAAAGATTGAACTGCCAGAAAAGTTGACGGGGCCGCAAGAAATGAAGCTATATTTGGATGCTGAAAACTCCATTTATTATTTATAATTCTCTTTTGAAAGCCAGATTCGTTCGGAACTAATTCAATCGACGTGAGCATTTTCAATGCCGCTTGAGTTGATCAGCGTAAGTGAACGTTCATGAAACTGTGAGTACTGCTAAAAGGTCACTACCATGAAGAAAAAGAACCAGCGGACGAGGAAACCTGCTTTGAAATACGCTACTCGCGATCGGATGCGGTGTCGAGTTACAATATGGCGCAAAGGCTCTTTGACTGTGGTTGGATAAGTAGGAATCAAGGAATTTCAGTAAAGGAAGTAATTTCTCCGAGCCTCGAGTTTGGCTAGGAGACCGCGGCTAAATCTACCTCTGTCAAATGAAAACTGAAAATCCATAAATGACAGACTTTTCTGGACCCAAACTGTTCTTACCATGGACCATTAATACGTATAAGACACAGCTATTCAATTTCATAGTTCGCTAATATTGCGCCTTTGAAATCAGGTTTTGCACTTAAAACAAAGTCCGTATTTCGCACAGTAATGACCAGGCATAAAAACCCAACCAAGCCTATAATGACTGAAAAGAGTAGGCGTTTGTTTTAGGTTTTTTCCTGTCTTCCAGGGTTATGACGGCGCCCAGGGTGTGCTTAACCAATGAACCTTATTATTATTGGTTATTAGCTACCCTGTCACAGGCACTGACTGCTGGTCATTTCTAATGGAAGTGAGCAGGTTAATAGAAGCTAAGTGACAAGCTTTGCCTAATCTTTCAGGCAGAACTCCATGTTAAGTTGAACTGATAAATTTACTAGCTAGGTAGAAATCAAAAATGTCATGGAAAATACTCTTTTGCTTTATGAACGTCCTGATATTTTTTTGTTGTTGAATTAATTCTGAGCAGATATTAATGATAATGAGGCCCCTTATTGAGTGCGGATGAGACGAAGGAATCAATTGAGGTCCCATCATAAATCGTTTTGCATTAAACGCACAAAATAATTCCGCGCTGCCACCGTCACCAGCTGCAAAGTTTTTATCCTGCTTCAGCAAAGGAGTAGTTGCGTTATCATACTACGAGGACGAGCAATGACGGAAAATTAATTTTGCAGGGATCAGGTCGCTAAGTGCTATTGGTTCCTTCTTTCAGTCGTGCATTTGATCAATCTTAGAGGCTAATTCTCAAATCTCTGGGATCCTGAGGTGATAAAAACCTGTAGTACGGTCGGTATTCCACGCAAAATGCCGACATTTGCGAAATATCGATAATCACTTTTAAACCGGCATTAAGTAGGTTTCTGATACTGATCACCATGCGGGCTGATCTCAGATCATTCCATTCAGGCCAGGACGCTTTTTAACAAGCTTCCTTCTGTTCGCTTACAAAAATTATATTCTGTGAAACAATGGCTACTTAAGCGGTATACATTTAACTAATTGATATCCACTGCCCTTATAAATTCCAAAATATTGTATAGAAAATATTCACAAAGTTAT